GCCCCTGGACCAATACTGCAAAGAGATGAACTGGCCTTTCACACTGACAACCCTACTAAGAGATGATTTTCCAGCTGAGAAACTAGTTACCTTTCTGTCAAAGACGGACATCATCGACAAGCTCTAAAGAACAATACCACAAGCGCTGACCAAAGCACCAGATGCCCAAGAAGGCTGGTGCTAAAAATTCAACGAGATTCAACGAGAGATTCATACTTTGTGAAGCCAAGTAGAGGGACGTAGTGGGATCGCTGGAAACGTAGAATCTGATCGGATTGCTAACCTAACTAAGTGTGCTGACAGGTCCTCTTAGTGCCATACTGCATAGTGGCAAAGCAGAGAGTTTTTTAGACTCTCTCAAGTTCATTTTTGAGTCCTAGGTATAAGTAGACCAGTAAAGTATCATGGATACTGGTAGTGGTACCAGCTTTATCATACTTGAGAAATTTGTTTAAATCTTGAGTAAATGAGGAAATTAAAAATGAACTGATTCTAAAAAAGCTCTGCCAGAGCTTTTTTAGAATAGAATGGAGAAGGAGGGATGCAATAACCGATGCATAGTGGCAAACCAGAGCTGCTCTGGTTTGCCACTATGCAGGCTCTTACTCTATATAGTCAGATGGGGTAAGACAGGACCGAAATCACTAACAAGCCCGTAGCATCTATACCATGAATAATTAAAAAATCCTAAACATATCACAAGGTGTATCTATGCAATAGGCTTCTAAGCTACAAGTCTGACATTTTGCATCTAACATAGTTTTCTGTACAGATTAAAAAAAGTGAGCTGGTCCCATCTTACCCCATTGGGGTAAGATGGGACCAGGCATGGGGTAAGACAGGACCAACTGGTTATTCTTATGTTACAAGGTTTTTAATAAAAGTACAAATCTGATATTCAATATTATCCATCTAGGAACACATTAATTGATTAAACAACCACTTGTTACTGCGGGAAGTCAACTATAATATCAGTCACATTGGAGTTTTTGTCACGAGAAAACTTTGTTAAGCATAATAAAGGTGGGTTGGCTTTGGTTCATTGTAGAGCACTGCTAAATGCATCCTGTATATTCCATTACCTATTGTCATTGTCTGAAAAAATTTTCACATTGGTAATAAAACCAATGGATAATAACTTAAGTGTCAGACATCATGAGTTTTCTTGCTAACTGCATTTGTGGTGCACTTCTTCAAACATAGCTCATGCCTTCTCACAGAGTTGTGATCATAATTATTTTTCATGTTTCACACAATGATTTTCCCCCCAGCCAATCTTGCACATAGTTCTGCAGGTCAATAGTGGGAAGTGACATCCCTATTTTCTCCATCCCTTTGATGAAATTTAAAATAGTGCACTAAGTTTCTCTAATTAAAAGAGCTAACAAGTTGAAGTTTAAGCCAGAGATACAAATTTTGACCAAAATACTCCATGTACTGACTGCACAATAATATATTCATTTAAAAACTATTTTTGATAAACTGTAGGGTAATAGAGGACTATTTGTGGGGTAAGACAGGACCATTTGTGGGGTAAGATAGGACCACTTGTGGACTAAAACAGGATCATTTAGTGGTCCTGTCTTACCCCATGTCCGGTCCTTTTTTACCCCATTTTATAATGCATGTCAGGCAGTGATGGTAGCAGGTAGGAATGTCTAGTATGTCTCATAAGTTGCTTATTACTTGAGGTTACCTGCCTACATTCACAAACCTGACACATCTAGATGTGTATAAGAGACAGCCCTGGTAATGTGTCTCATCACCCTTGGTAATGTGTCTCAAGACTGTGTCTCATCACCCTGGTAATGTCTCATCACCCTGGTAATGTCTCATCACCCTGGTAATGTCTCATCACCCTGGTAATGTCTCATCACCCTGGTAATGTCTCATCACCCTGGCACGCAGAGTCGGGCGGCGGGTCCGGTTGCGTACGTGACAGCGTACAACGCAGACCAGAGCGTCAAGGACGTCACGCGACGCTACGTCGCCAAGTGGCTTTCCTTTGAAAATAAAGTAAGAAAGAAATCTTATTTTACTTCTTTACTTTTTACAGGCAGTTAAACTTTGACCTACCATTGATTTTTTAATTTATATGTTGTTATCATGGAATTTCTGTTATTAAATCAGTATTTTTTGAACATATATGATGCCAAGAAAAGATGTATGTAGTACATGTACAAGAAATGTGACATTACACAAAGCAAATATGCATACTAGGTACTTATTGCTGGAAAAATTGTTAGAAATGTTTTTCATTTTTAGTATGTTAATTAATGTTCTTGGTTTGTTCGCGCAAAATCTGTCCTTGATATTTCTTATTAATAGGCAAATTTTTGTGTTTTTCAGCTGCGATGCGACAGCGCCTGGTGGCAAGAAGTGCTCGCCCCCTACGCCCCAACCTTCACTGCCCGGGAGAAGGCAGAGAACCTGCAGCTTGAGGAGACCCTCAGGCAACAGCCGCTGCCAAAGACTATTGCTGAGTGAGTGCTTTATCTAGTGCTTTATAAAGCTTTAGTTTACATAACGCTCGGTCTTACAGCCGCTGCCCAAGACTATTGCTGAGTGAGTGCTTTATCTAGTGCTTTATATGGCTGTTGTGTTCATAACGCTCGGTCTTACAGCTGCTACCCAAGACTATTGCTGAGTGAGAGCTTTATCTAGTGTTTTATATGGCTGTTGTGTTCATAACGCTCGGTCTTACAGCCGCTTCCCGAGATTATTGCTGAGTTAGTGCTTTATCAAGTGTTTACAAGTGTCAAGCGATCAAGTGTCAAGTCCATCTTTACTAAGGGAATGGAAAATGTGAATAATCATTTCACACTAGCATTAATTTTTTAATGTAAATATTTCTGCTTGGCAAGTTACATGCTTGGCAGCATGTCGATCTCGAGTTCTTTCAGTCTGGAAGGGAAATTTTTTTCTATTTTGAGTGATCGGCCACCACCAGCCTGAAATAGAGCGATATTGACACATGCATATTACATGTCGAACAAATCTTCTTATTTACTTGCTTTTACCTGCAATAGCATTTGATATATAGTCCTCAAATCAGGTAGGTATTTAATGTATTATTCCCATAGTGTTTATCACCAGCTTGTTGCTCTGCCATTCGCCTCTAGTGTGATAAATCTAAGTGTTCTAAGTCATTACCTGTCCCCGCAGATACAAAGACCATCCAATGTTCGCCCTGCAGCGCCACCTGCTGAAGTTTGAAGCATTCTACCCTCCTAACCCCGACCCCGTGGGGTACGTTAGAGGTGAGGCCGTGTATCCCCGTGAGTGCGTGTACACGCTGCACAGCCGCGACATCTGGAAGAAAGACGGCAAGACGGTTAAAGTTGGTGAAGAGCCTTACAAGATCGTCAAGGCAAGGCCTAAGTGGGACCGAGTGAGTCAAGCATTGATGTTACATTTTCAATTAAATTGAAAGTATATATCTATTCAATTGATAGTTCTAGTTGAAAGTTGAATTTTCGATTCAATTGAAAGTTCCATTCAATTGACGTTTTATTTTCGTCTACACGCCGGTGAAGTGTAGACTGCATCAGAGCTCTTTTAACTTATAACAAATTTCGATTTACATCCAGTCCAGTGGAATAACATTGAAGTTCTTCGCTCGAAAAGCATGACCATTCAGAATTTTTGAATGATTTTTCTCGGAGGGATGATTTTTTATTTTCCAATGCATATGTGCCTTTTATTTTTTCATGCATCTTACAATTCGTGTTTTGAACAATTGGACATCAAGTCACACCTTTCACAATAATTGCCCACTTGCTCCGGGCTACGGTCCTAGTGATCCTTTCACAATTTTCTCACAACATTGTCAAGAACTAATTGTTATTCTACATTTAAAAGTTCAATAATAGCAGTTATGTCATCCAAGGCAAACAAGGATCACAATTGGTCCGCGTGTTCAAGGGTTCGATAATAATAATCGCTTGAACAACCTGATTCGGTTTATATTTTTTTGTTTGTACAGATGCCTGTTTGCAAGTCTTTATTTTTTGTTTCTGTTATTTCATTGCCTTTGTCACTGTACGGGTAGGCGCTGTGCCAAGTGATCAAAGACCTGCCGCTGGAGATCTTTGGTCCGTGGCAAGTAGAGGACTACCAGCCACCCGTAGCCAAGGGAGGGCGGGTGCCACGTAACGAGTACGGCAACGTTGAGCTCTTCAAGAAGACCATGCTACCTGTGGGCACCGTGCACCTCGACGCCCGCTGTACGCTATGCCCTGCAGACAACACCTTATCTTTTCTCTTTTTTTTTTAGTGTATTAGTGTTCAGATTAATTGCCTAATTTTTTATGCAATCAATTTTTCCGAAACATTAGATGGGGTTGAATTAGGCTGGATTGAATTTGGTTTATTTGAATTGGGTTGGGTTTGGTTAGATTGGGATAATTTGGTTAGGATGAATTGGGTTGGGTTGCATTGGGAAGGATTGGGTTGATTTAAATTGGGATCAATTGGGTTGGGTTGAATTGGCTTGGGTTGTAATGGCTTGGGTTAAGTTGGGTTGAATTTGCTAGGATTGCATTGGGTTGGCTTTGGTTGAATTGGTTTCGGTTGGGTTCGGTTGAATTGGTTTTGGTTGGGTTTGGTTTTGCTGCATTGCATTGGGTTGGGTTTGGTTTGGTTGCATTGGGTTGGGTTCAGTTAGATTAGGATTGGATTGAATTCAGTTGAAATGAATTGAGTTGGCTTGGTTTGGGTTGCGCTGGGCTGGGTTTGGTGGCCTGTGTTTGGATTTGGTACGCGCTATGGCGCATAGTTCCTCGGAGCGCATAGCGCGTATGCTCGGGTACTCAAATATATGCTCTCACAGCCATCAGAACTGCGCTCTACAGCGCGTAGATCAGGTGGCTATGAGCATGTATGCTTTGGTGCTCAAATGTAGCTCTCACAGCCATCGTAACTATTTGCTATGATGCATAGTTCTGATCGTACCATGTAAATCAATATAGTGCATGGGCCATATCGATTGTAAATCACAATATATGGAGAAGCATAATTGGTGACCGGCGTCCAGTGGCATCCACCAAGGCTTCTTTGGTGCATGATATCGGCATCCTCGACCTATGTTGTGCCACTTTTTACAGTCTGGAATGAGTGGATAAGTATTACCAAATACCAAAGTGAAGTAGTAGTACTAGTAAGTAGCTTAGGCCCCAGGCCGACTAGCATTAAGTCTAACTGACTAAGCACTTCAAGAGTTTAACTATTAAAAATTATAAATTTAATTAACAGAGATTCTTCCTGATATGTCCACTGGCAGTTTCTTGTTAAGTAATTAGCCTTCAAAAGGTTTTGCAACACTCAGATCATCCCTTCTGTTTTGAACAGTGACAACTGAGAAGCACATTAGTGAAGGCAGGAAATATTATCTCGAAGCTTAACTTGGATTGTGCTCTTTCTAAATTCTCAATTAAAAACAGTATCAAACACAAAACTATTCCCTTGTATTCACCTGGGTAGGTGCATTGCGAGAATGAGTAGCAAAAAATTGCTTGTTTGAAGAGTGTCGGTAGGAAGAGATTAGACTCAGTGTGGAATTCTAAAGGGATATTAGATTAACCAGTACAGATA